CCAGTCCCCGACCCCCCGGCCAGTTGCAGTGCGGGTCCCAGCAGACCCGTCACAGAGGTATAATCCCCTTACCCTTTTCTCTCCTTCCCTTTCCCAGCCCTGAGAGCCCATGGGGCTCACAGCAGCTCCAATTGTCCGGCTGGCAGGAGCACTTCTGGGTTCCAGTTGGTGCCAGACTATCAAGAGTGCCAGATCACTGGATGCCGGACAATTGGAGTTTTACTCTACTAGGTATATTACAAACCGAGAAGAGGACCTTAGATGAGACAGCCTAGTTATTGAGGACTGTTCCCTACAATACATTTTCTGGAACATTGTCCCAATCTATTTTTAAATTAGGAGAAAGAGTCTCTTACATCTCTTGAAGCAAAATGATGAATGTACCTAAATCATTCATATATCTCTTGAAGGAGAGAGATGTGTATACATTCATAAGGCTTCATCCTGCAAGTTGCTTAACACACTCCGTTTCCACTGAAGCGATCACCTTGCAAAATCAAGTACCCAGTTTGTAAAATATAATTAACACCTTAAAAAGCTTATCAGATACTTTGAGATAAATTTCTGTCAGTATATCACCAAAAGCCAAACACTGACTATAATCTAAATTCCTCCATCTAGCATCTTTAAATTCTGTATGCATTACTTTATGAATACAACACAATTTAATCTTCTATCATTCTCTTGATTTCCTTTAGAACTCACTCAAACATAAACAAAACCATTAATGGGCTTTATATAAATTTATGTCAAATACGGTTGCCCAAGTCTCTAAATAAGAGACTAGCTGCAGACAATGCAAATTTGCTACTTCTTTCTCACCTAAGCAGTTACCCAATTTTGTAGTCCTGTGGATTGTTTTAAATATCAGGAAAAATAGATGAAGTTAAGTATTTCTCTGATACAATCCTGCTTACTTACAAAGAATGAACATAGTCATGTTTCCTAGACAAAGCAGCAATCAGACAGCAAGGAATGATATCTTTACTCACAGCATCAAGTCCCATTTCTAGACAGTTAACCCAAAAGCCTTTTTTTCCTTGAGTCACATCACTAGTGCTTTTATGACTGAGACTTTTATGACTTTGAGACACTGCAGAACTTTGCCAGTATAGCAATGCCAGTAAAGCCCCTTAGTGGAGATACAGCATAATCCAACAGGCCTTCTGACAGCATAACTACACCACTTCCATGAACAATACTAGCTAAATTGACAAGAACTTTTGTCAGCTGCATCTACACCAGAGTTTTGCAGTCAGTCAGATAAATGGCATGATTTTTTCCACAGACACAGCTAAACCAGCAAAACTTTGTAGTTTAAACTAAACTTTTGTCTTTTGCTTCCTGCCACACAAATATACTCATTTTCTCTAGTCTTTTTCCTGCTTTCCCCACCCCTTCCCCTACATACATACATACATACATACACACACACACACCATCCATCAATGTACTTGCCTTTGTAT